GCTGCTAATTTTTACAAATATTTTCTTTGACATACAGGTCTCTCTGGTTAGAGAGTTGAGTGTCTCTGCAATTTGAAGAGCTGCCTCATTTCACCCCTGTCTTTAGAGACCCTCATGAGGATCTTCCCTCCTTTTAGGCCACAGGAAGCCTAAAAGTGGCCATTACAACATGTGCCACTCATGGGGCATGGCCACGCAACGGCATCGCAATTTGGGCCTGTGGGGTAACAAGGATTTCTTAACAGGCTGTCCTGGCGAAAACACTGCCTGTTTCTCAGGGTTTACTTCCTCTAAATAGAAAGTATTTGAACAGGGGGTGGGAGGAGAATAAAAAAGCTACAGTCCCCGAACTTCATTTAGCAAATGTTCATTGGGCACCTGCAATATGCCAGATGTTGTACTTTACAGGTGGCTCATCAATAAAACTTTGCAATTACCCTATGATCCAGCAATCCCACTCCTGGGCATATATCCGGACAAAACTCTAATTCAAAAAGATACATGCACCCCAATGTTCATAGCAGCACTATTCACAAGAGCCAAGACATGGAAACGACCTAAATGTCCATCAACAGATGAATGGATAAAGAAGATGTGGTACATATATACGATGGAATACTACTCAGCCATAAAAAGAATGAAATCATGCCATTTCCAGCAACATGGATGGACCTAGAGACGATCATACTAAGTGAAGTAAGTCAGAAATAAAGACAAATACCATAGGATATAACTTATATGTGGAATCTGAAATATGACACAGCTGAACCTATCTACGAAGCACAAACAGACTCACAGAGAGAACAGAGAGAACAGACCTGTGGTTGCCAAGGGGGAGCGGTGTGGGGGAGTTTGGGGTTAGTAGATGCAAACTATTACATATAGAACGGATGAACAACAAGGTCCTACTGTATAGCACAGGAAACTATATTCAGTGTCCTGTGATAAATTGTAATGGAAAAGAATATAAAAAGAATGTATATATATGAATAACTGAGTCAATTTGGTGTACAGCATAAATTAACACAACATTGTAAATCAACTATACTTCAATTTAAAAAAAAGAAAACTTTTCAATCAAATGGAATTCTACCTCTGTGGTTTCTTAGGTTAAAAAGATGATTTTGGAAATCCTTGTAATCAATGTCTACTGTTAGTTGTAGCCTGCTAACCCTATATTAGTAAATCAAGTATTGTATAGTTCTCAAAGAAAAAGAATCTCCTTAGGATCAATGTGAATTTAGTAAGACTAGAGAAAATGAGGCAGAGCTCAAGGCAAGTTTTGTTATTGGCAGTTTAGATCACGTTCCTTCACCCACTTAGTCTTCGATTACCAATTAAGTATTAACATCTCAGCTATACACTTAAGGTCCTAGTTTACCAGCAAAGCTCCAGCCTGACCTCAGACACCTGCCCTTTAAAATCCCTACACTCCCATCAAAGTATATTGCTTGCTTCTCTCCACTATAAATGACCTCTACTTAATAGGTAATTTTTTTAAAAGCTAGTTAATATAAAAAGAACATCTTATTAAAAGGAAAAAAAGAGGCTACTAGTCACTAATGGGCAGTGGAATGGGTCCCACCAGGGTATCAGTCCCTAACTTTGGAAGAGCTGCCCTCTATGGTGTGGTCAGGAATGGCAAACACATCTAAAGAGAAGCCACAAGTCATGATCACACAGGACTTTCAAGGATATGATTTCCTCACCATTCCCTGTGCTTTTGCCCATACCGTTTTCTCCATGTAGAATGTCTTTCTCTCTCCCTTATATCTCGTACAGGCTTATTTTATCCTTATATGCCCATATCTGATGCCACCTTCTCTAAGAAGCCTTTTTCCATCCCCTGCGCCACCTGATATAATTTCCCCCTCCTTTGATGGATTCCCTGTAGCTCCTTATTTGTAACATTTTGTGGGACCCATCATATTTTGCTTTGTATCGTATTAATTTGAGTACATGTGCAGATTCCAAGTTCCTCTTTTCTCATCTTTGTATAACAATATCAATAAGAAATTCGTATACCATTTTATAGATTACAAAAGCTCTTCCTACATAATCATTTTTTTCTTCTAGCATAGTATATTAGGGGCTCTCTGGATTGTTGAAGTGAGGGTGAAAGAGCCCGGGCATTTAGAAAGCTCTGAACTCCTCAATTCCATGGACATAACACCTGTCACATTCATTACATAGTGACTCATAGCTCATTGATCCCATCTTCTTTGGATATTATCCACAAAAGAGATTTTCTCTGACTTAAAAATTTTGAGAAACATGGCACTGTGAGATTAATTCCCAAATTTCACGTCAGTCTCATAAATCTCTGTTTATATACATATACATATATGTCATATGATGTATGTCTGTGTGTGTACATGCATATGTACTTTATTGCTATTGTTGAGGTATATGTTGATTGGTTGTTGTTTACTTTTTGTTTGTTTGTTTTTAATGTCTGTTCCAGGTTAAATGGCTATCCCAGGGAGCTCCACCAACAAATGATATAAAAATAAACTAGAGAATCAAGCATTGCTTGGCTTGTGAATATTGTACAGAGGTTGGAATCCTCACAAACTCTTGGTTTGCTTTTCCTATTGATACAGCCACTATGGAGAACAGTATGGAGCTTCCTCAAAAAACTACAAATAGAACTACCATATGACCCAGCAATCCCACTACTGGGCATATACCCTGAGAAAGCCATAATTCAAAAAGAGTCATGTACCACAACGTTCATTGCAGCTCTATTTACAATAGCCAGGACATGGAAGCAGCCTACGTGTCCATCAACAGATGAATGGATAAAGAAGATGTGGCACATATATACAATGGAATATTACTCAGCCATAAAAAGAAACGAAATTGAGTTATCTGTAGTGAGGTGGGTGGACCTAGAGTCTGTCATACAGAGTGAAGTAAGTCAGAAAGAGAAAGACAAATACCGTATGCTAACACATATATATGGAATCTAAGGGGAAAAAATGGCTCTGAAGAACCTAGGGGTAAGACAGGAATAAAGACACAGACCTACTAGAGAATGGACTTGAGGACATGGGGAGGGGGAAGGGTAAGCTGGGACAAAGTGAGAGAGTGGCATGGACATATATACACTACCAAACGTAAGGTAGATAGCTAGTGGGAAGCAGCCGCATAGCACAGGGAGATCAGCTCGGTGCTTTGTGACCACCTAGAGGGGTGGGATAGGGAGGGTGGGAGGGAGGGAGACACAAGAGGGAAGAGATATGGGAACATATGTATATGTATAACTGATTCACTTTGTTATAAAGCAGAAACTAACACACCATTGCAAAGCAATTATACTCCAATAAAGATGTTTAAAAAAAAGGGGGGTGCATTGAGCTTGATGGCCTTCGAAATTCTGAGGAACTCAAACTTTGTAATGTTGGTTCTTACCGCACTGGATCCCCTGAGGAAAGACAGTAGATTTCGACAGACTGGCAGCAGAATCAGCATGCAGTTGAAATTCAGGCAGGCTGCAGGGGCCCTGGCCAGTGCCAGCGCTGACTGGAAAAGGCAGGATAAGAAGCAGGGTGACTCTTGTGCGCCCAGGACACCGCCCGCCCCACTTGCCTACACCCACTCCCCCAGGCTTCCCAGCATGAGGCCCACACTCAAGAGATATCAAGTTATAGGGGCTTCCCTGGTGGCGCAGTGGTTGAGAGTCTGCCTGCCGATGCAGGGGACACGGGTTCGTGCCCCGGTCCGGGAGGATCCCACATGCCGCGGAGCGGCTGGGCCCGTGAGCCATGGCCGCTGAGCCTGCGCATCCGGAGCCTGTGCTCCGCAACAGGAGAGACCACAACAGTGAGAGGCCCGCGTACCGAAAAAAAAAAAAAAAAAGAGATATCAAGTTATCTGGGAAGGAAGGTCCTTTAGAGCCAGGGCTCTTCTTCATCATAAATGAATAAAATGTTGGGGTGGGGAGCAAGGGCCAGATTAAAATAAATATTATGAATATTTTCAAACATAAAGAGAATTTGAAATAATTTCACAATGAATACCTGTTGATTCATCTCCAAGATTCTACCTTTTACATTTTACAATGGTTGCTTTAGCACATGTCTATTCACCTCTCCATCCATCTACCCATCCCTCTATCCATCCATCAATGCATCTTATTTTTGATGTATTTCCAAGTAAGTTGCAGATATCGGTTTACTTCCTCCTAAATATTTAAGCATGCATATCATTAACTAGAGTTCAGTATAGAAATTAGGTCTTTGTAAAGAAGATTTTCTTAGCACATAGACTAACCTCAACAGTAACTAAGTTTGTATGGTATATTTGTAATGCCTAAAGAAGTTGCATATTTTGGAGGAGGAAAATGCAAAGGGAAATCATCCTTTTCAGCATCAACCTGAATAAGTTAACAACAATTATAATAGTGTAGTGGAATTATATGTTATAATTATCTATGCATATGATGTATAATACATATTATAATTAGTATTAAGTAATGGTTTCAGTATGATGTAACAAATGATATCCTCTGGGGGCAGCCGTAATTGTACTTATTTTCTTATTTTCATTTATGAAGAAGAAGAGCCCTGTCAGTTCAAGGAAACTGAGAATGTTATCGGACCCAAGAAAAGTCAGGGGCCTTTGCTCTGCCAGTCGAGTCAAAGAACGTGATCTTTGGGCAAGTTCCTCAAAGCCTCCATATGTAGGGAGAGGCTTATTTCCTGAAGAGTATTTCATAACATGTCATTAGGAGCAGGGTTTTTCATGCACAAAAGTTAATAGGAATCGGATGATTTAGAGAATATAGGAAGTCCCACTTGTGCCACCTGTGTCACCCCTGGATCGATCTTTCCAACCTGGCCATCCATTCCGGAGTCAGTATTAGATTTCTCCTTCAAGCTAAACAGTAGCACAGTAGTTCTTGGGAGGGGAAGGATGCCGCCGGGACCCTCTGCCACACTTCTGTCTGTCCCACACTGGAAGGCCTAAAGACTCTTGCCCAGGGGGTTGCAATGGAGGGAGTGAGGCCGATGGTGCTCTTTGGGTTGGTCAGAATACTTCTTTAAAACGTTAAAAGGAATAGGAACAAGAATCTCTGATTAGACATGGGAGCCAGTCAATACTGAGGGAGATGGAACTTATACTTACCCCAAGAAGTTTTCGAGTGTAGAAGAACTTATCTGGAATATCATAAACCCGGTAGTACCAGACAAAGAGGAAGACGTTCATCCCCAGCCATACCAGCTGCACAAACAGAAGTGGTTGCGTGAAGTTGTCATGTTTCAACAGGTAGATTTCACAGCAGTTTAGAGTCAGACCAGGGTCAGGACTTCCCCAAGTACAGCCTTTGATTAAGGTGGTTACAAAGCCAGCTCCTTCCTGCAAGAGTATCACTACACTTCTCTGTAAGTAACCTTTCCTCCCTGTGTTGTCCCCTGTGATTGTTATACTACTTGGGCCGTATGCGGAGTTATTATCTATCTCCCCTCCTTTCTTTCTCCTCCTTTTAGATTGATAGATGACAGCAGGTGACTCTTCTTACAAAGAGAAGGGAAAGGAATCTGTTCCTATACTGTCCCCTGCACCAGCAGGACTTTGTGTTTGATTCTCACAGGTGTGATTACCTCTCTCCGCCACACAGCATCCCGCCCCAGCTAGTGGAGTTCTCATCAGCTAAAATGACAAGGCTTTAATTCTACTTCATAAGTTTTGCTTCACTTTTTATTTTTTTTAATTTTTTTATTATTATTATTTTTTTTTGCGATACGCGGGCTTCTCACTGTCGTGGCCTCTCCCGTTGCGGAGCACAGGCTCCGGACGCACAGGCTCCGGACGCACAGGCTCAGCGGCCATGGCTCACGGGCCCAGCCGCTCCGCGGCATGTGGGATCCTCCCGGACCGGGGCACGAACCCGTGTCCCCTGCATCAGCAGGCGGACTCTCAACCACTGCGCCACCAGGGAAGCCCTGCTTCACTTTTGAAAGAGGGAATATTCAGCATCGATGAGGGAATGAGAGGCATGGGATTTTTTTTTTTTAAAGGGAGATCCTTCTAGATTGTGACTGCTCATTTCATCCCAAGCACTGACTGCATCAAATGATGACTCTACCCAGTCCTCCACCTTCAGCTCCACAGTAGCAATCTGTTCTTAACTGTGCTTTGAGGCTATTTGATGTCCTTCGATGCTTGAGAATAGTCTCTCTTTATAAAGAAGAAGGTACTAAAACCACTTCTCCATTTCCTAACCTTGTCATTTTTACTCTTGTCTTCCAAGCTGTGGATTCACTTTCAAGTATATGAGTGTGTAATTTAGATAGAGGTCACTTCCCTGGGAAAACTGTGGTAAGAGCTAAAAGTGTTTATATTTGAACTTATTTTTTAAAGGAGTAATCTGTTCTTCAAATGGGGATAAGAAATCAACTTAACAGCTTGGAGTCCTCAGAACAATTCTGTATTGCATTAGAGTGTTGATTTGGCTTAATTTTTTTAAAATGAGAAAATATTTGTGATTTTTATTTTATCTGTGCCACTCACTTCTCTCTACCTCTACAGCTCAAAGAGTCATATTTACTTCATGATAAATTCTTTCAAAAAATTCATACATAAGTGTTCTTTTTAACATCTGGGTAATACTTTAATTGGCTATTTGGAAAAGCTACTTATAAATCACATTTCTATCTTCCCAGTTGTCTGTGATTGCTTTGCTGAGACCATCTTAAAAAAATAGTTGATCTATGTTATGTTAAAAACTAAAGAAATCATCATGTCTGTTTGAAAATTAGCCATATCTTTACTTACAAAAATTGTTTCTCAAGACAGACTATATTGATTTATATACAGCTAAATATAATATATACCATATATACGCTATAAATATGTGTCTAGATAGTTTTTTTTTCAGTTCCCTCCCCTTAAATTTTTTAAAAACCTCACAAATAACTAAAGTTTACCTCAGAGAAAAGAAGATACTTTTTTAAAAAAGAAAATTGAGAACTTCAATTATTTTTGGTGTCATTACTGAAATAAAGGCCAATTTCCCATACATGAGCCAGTCTTGCATTTGTTATTTGGAAAACTGTATAAAATTTCAATTGCCCATTTTTAGGTGGTATAAATACATTAAAAATAGAGAAATTTGCCGCTGAGTAAACAAGGAATGAAATGTCTCCTACTCCCACTGTGAAATGCTGGCTAATTTATTACTCCTAAAAACTCCAGAAATAAACTAGGTGAAGTGAGACCCCAGATACATTCTTTCCATTAATAAGTTTGGAAGAATGGACTCACTCTGCTTACAGATGGATGCATGTTCACATAATAAATCAGTTTCAACACAATTTCTCAAACAAAACAAACAAAAAAGCTTTGCTCTATTTTCATTTCCAAGAGAACCCAAACAAGTCAGAGAATTTGTAATTTCATTCTCATTGGTACTTACAATGACGAAGATGGAGAGGCCCTCATTCACAAACAAGTTCCCCATGGTGGCAGAGGTTCAGTGCCTCGAGTGTGCCTTTCTTCTCTGCTATGCTTCTTCCTCCCATGAGGAAATGAAAACAGCAGCCTTGGGGCAATCTGTTTCCTTTTCTATTATCAGAAATTAGCTAACCATTGGTCAACTGAAAAGCTTGTCTCCATAACAAATTTAAATCTTTAACCACAAAAAAATGACAGAAAAAAAGTCTACCATGATCCAATCACAACTAAACATAGTGGGAAATGAAACTAATTTCTACAACTGAGAGGCAAATAACAGTACAATTCATGGTGTTTTACACTGTGAATTAATCTTTGGACTGATCAGTTATCAAGTGTCAATTTTTAAAAAGTCACCCAACTAGCCATGACTTTGGGCTAGGTAAAAAACATTAAATAGATGTGGTATCTTTTGATAGACTGGAGCAGCATTTGCAGAGTCTTGTTGAGAAAAATTATAACAGGTGTGATCGCTGATATTTATAGAATGCTTACTTTGTGCCAATTTTCTAAGATATGTATGTGTGCATGTAAATACATGTGTATGTACATATATACACACACATATGTATATATGAGTTGATACATATCTTATGTGTGTGTCTACACACAAAGACACCCATACACACACATACATAAATTCACTATATAAATAAATTAATTCGGTACTAATAATTCAACACTATAAAGTAGTTTCTATTATTAGGATTACATTTACAGATGAGGAAACTGAGACCCTGAGCCGTTAAGTTACTTGGCCAAGGTCATGCAGTTAGGAAACCATGCAGTTGGGATTTAAAACCCAAGCAATTTGGCTATACTTTTAGCCACGATACCAGAAAAAAAAGCCTGACAGTGGCAACCACATCCCAGATCACTCCTAATACAACCATGGGAAAAGAAAACATAACAAATAGACCAAAACGTTTGAATGACTGTAGTATTCCCAGGCAGACGTGACATTCTTCTAGGCAAGGTAGCTAAACAGGGTCAGAACAAAGGTATGTCAGGTATGGTAGATGCCAAAGGCAGATTTAGCATTTTTTTTTCTCTGACTCCCATCCAGTCTTCAGGACATGAAAGAGACAGAAGGGTAGGATGGTAACCCCTGATTGCATCAGGGTGGTTGTACAACAGCTAGAGTGAATAGAGAGGTAAAAGAAGAAACTGGAGGAGCGAAAGGGAACAAGAGAAGAAAAAAGAGGAGAGGCCTGAACTCTTTGGGTTATTGTCTATGAAGCACTTGAGACAACCTGCAGAATTATGACCGTGAGTATAATAATATTGTTTTTCACTTTTTAATATTTAAGGAAAGGTACTCCACTGTGACTTTCTGCGTGGCTCTTGAATCATAGGTAACCCACATAAAAGACAGTCGGTTCCCTGGTTCAGTTACACACAGAGATGAATTCAAAGACACACAGTTAGACCATCAAGTTATATGCCAGTTATTTGCCTCTCTGCTCTGGGATTTATTCCTCAGCCTTTACTCGCTCTGTTCTGTTTCAGATGAGGAACAGAGGATGGAGGATGAGGGACACCCCCCGCTTTCTGCTTCAAGTGGCATTTTGGAAGTGGCTGCCTTTCCACCGGAAGCTCCGGCTCCCACCGGCCAGCCTTCCCCACTGTGGCCTGAGCTCCTGCTGGCCGTCACCACTGTAGTTCCAGTTCCTGCCACAGGCCCTGGCTTCTGGGCTTGACTTACACCACCTCCTGCCAGGTTTCGTCCAACCCGGAGGGCGGTCACCACTCCCTGTAGTTGTTAATCTTGATGTTGCCTCTGCGCCCAGGTTGGGATTCGCCTCTTTCCCATCATCCATGTAGCAAATCCCTGGGGTGAAATTCCCTCTGCTGAAATAGGGTGGTTTCTGTTTTCCTGACTGGACTTTGCCTGATACAGAAAGGAATTCAGACCTGTACTCATTTTCTGGTGGAATTAAAGAAGGGAGGCATATATGCCTAATGAGGAATAAAACACCTTAAAATCTGCTCTCCCTCTGTCTGTTACTCTCACATTCTTTCACAGTGATGACTGTGGCTCCATCAGGCTCTTTGAAACTTACCAAAGTCTTCCCCTCCCTACCCCTCCTCTCTTTTCTCTTTCCCAGCCTACTGGGAAAGGGTTGATCTTCCCTTATTCTATCTTAATCTTCAAGTCTCTCCCACATTTTTTCATGTACCTCCTAAGGCCCGTGCTCTGCTGGGGAAGCAATGGAGAAGGGACCCTGGATACTCATATACTAGGAAATAATGTTCCTCGAATATTTCCCAACTTCTTTCCCCTCCTTCCGCAGTTTGAGAAGAAAATTCAAAAAAGAAAGAATATTTTTGTGGGTGATCAACCATTCCCTCCTATGGCTTTTTTTTCTCCTTTATAAAAGTAATCACAGGGCTGTGAGTAGAGCTGTCTTACGAGCCTTAAGAACTTCAATCAGTTTCACAGCTGGAGGAAGAGAGCTCAGTTGCAATGAAGAGTAAAATCTTTCTTTTATGGAAAGTAACTTCCCTTTTGAGAACACTGTTCCAGTGAATTTCAATGTCCTCTGCTCTTGAAAAGACAAGCAGAGGGTTTGATAAAGGACCAACAGGTACTGGTTGACTGGTATGGACTGGACACCAAGAATGAAGAAAATTGAACCTCTGTGCATTAGCTAACCGTCTATCTTCTCCCAGTCACTTTGGCTTCCACTGCCTCCGAAACTGTTAATGTCAAGTTAGACTGTGATGAATGTAAGGAAGTATTCACCCCTTCTAGCAGGCAGTAATGACCAACACCATCAGGCTTGTGATTGAAACCCTAGATGCCTCTTGCAGAGGGAAAAAAGAGAGAAGCAGTCCCAAGTCTCTAGGAAACCCCCTGATTTTGCATCCTGACAATAATTCCTTCTTGATTTGTCAAAGTAAAGAAGTAGACTCTTAATTTCTTCCAAGAAGGATGTATGGAATGCTGAAGAAAGGGAGGTGTGTTGCCACACCAAGATGCCTGATGAATTTTGTTCCTGGTGATGATGAAAAATGGATTTGTGTTCCTTTTATCTCTACTGTGCATGCTATTCTTTTCAGAACTGCCATGATTCCACTCTCTGTGCATCCATGAGTTATGTGGCCCCAGTTTCCTTGCTTAAGGATGACAAATGAGAGGACTTCATCTCCCTAGATACGGTGATCGTCCCAGTGGTGGGCATTTGACCCAAACGAGGCCAATGAGAATTATTTGCATGAGGAGGGAGTTGTTAGGGACTATGGAAGAGAGTGGGTGAAGCTTTTCTTTCTTTGTGAGTGATGCATGCCTGCTGCTGCCATAGACCATCTCTATTACCTTGCGCTAAGAAGCTGCATAAGAATCACACCAACACAAAATCAGATCAGTAGCTGGGGAAGGATTGAGAGGTTTTGAGACAAATACGATGACAAGGTTTGCATTCTTGGGTCTGATCTACCTGAGATACTTGGACATCTCAGTTATTCTTACAGACTGGGTTCCCTGGAAGTATACTCTGAGGTGGAGATTAGTGTTCAGGAGTTCGAGCTGAGAGTGTCCTTGGAGGTATACACCCGTGGAAAGGAAGGAAAGATAAGAAAACAGGAGCGGGCAGAAGGAGAAGTTGAATTATCATGTGGTCACAAGAAAGGCCTCTGCAATCCTGTAGGCACCACTACCATTTCCTGCTGTAAAAAAACTTTGAGTTGGCTTTCTACCACTTATATCTAGAAGGGTTCCTACTAAAGCATGGTATAATGAAACCCACTTTAATTCCATAGCCATGGTCTCAAAGGTTAGTGGAAGTTGAATAAGGCAGCTGGAATGGGATCCAGACGTTCTATTTCCTGTTTGAAGGAGAAAATAACAAAGTGAAAGAAGAGACGGTCAGGGAGGAAGGGACAATTTTCTGATGTAGGTGATTAAAGGCATTAAGAACATGGTTTTACCTGGTATTGTATTTATTAGAAAGTGAAAATGTCTGGTGGTGAGGATTTAAAATTTAGCTCTTTAGGTTAAATGTGATTTGCATACATTTATCCATGAGAATAAGGAAGAAAATGAGGAAAGCTTACATATTTTCTCCTACTAATCATTGATTTGAATTTAAAACTTTCCAGTATGCTTCCTGTGTAAATTATTTTCTCTTGAAAAAAAATCTATTTTTACAGACTTATCTTGGTCTTAACAACAGCCAACATTTGTAAAGCATTTTACACATGCCCAGTGCCTTATGTGCTTTATCTCATTTACTTTTCATGACCACACTATAAGGTGTGCAAAATTATCATATGCATTTGAAGTAGGATGAATATCCCCCCCCCCCACCCAGAGATGTCTAGGTACTGATTCCCAGAGCCTATGAATATGTTACTTTACATGGTTAGAAGGACTTTGCAGACATGATTAAGTTAAAGATTTTGAGATGGGGAGATTATCATGAATGATTCCGGGGCAGCCAGTGTAATCACAGGGGTCCTTATTAGAAGGAGGCAGGAGGTTCAGAAGCATTGAGAGAGGATGTGAGGGATGAAGCAGAATTCAGACAAGAAAGAAGATGCTATGCTGCTGACTTTGAAGATGAAGGAGGAAAAGCCATGAGCCAAGGAGTGCGAGAAGTGCAGCTCTAGAATCTGTAAGAGGCAAGGAAGTGGATTCTCTTCTGGAGCCTCCAGAAGGAATGTAGATCTCCTGACACCTTGATTTCAGCCTGGTGAAAGTGATTCCAGACCTCTGACCTCCAGAACTGTAAAAAAGTAAGTTTGTGCTGTTTTAAGCTGGTCATTTGTGGTAATTTGTTACAGCAGCCATAGAAAACTCATACACTTTACAGACCAGAGAGAAGAGCTGCGAGGAGAGAAAGTAGCTTGCCCAGAATCACATGGCTGCCTGACACCAGAGCTGAGATTTGAATCTGGGCAGTCTGATGTATCACTGCTTATTTGAGCCACCAGAATCATTTTGTAAAGCTAGGGCTTCATTGTCAATAATAAAGTCATTTTATGAGCATAAGCTGCTGTCCCAAGACCCCTGGATTGAACTCTGCTATCCTGCTGTCGGTTGGCGACACATATTATAGCTCTTCCCCACAGGACTGATCAGAATAGCCCTGATTTTCAGCCTCCTTCTGACAGCCTATGTGTTGCTGACAGCTTCCTGCAGTAACCATTGGTGTGCAGAACCAGCTCGGCCCAAGAAGCCTGAAGTTTGTTGAGCCACAAGTGTTAGGTCCCTACAACCAGATTCTGCATATTTCACCTTGACCTGAAGCATGAAAGCACTGTCTCTATGTCTCCACTATCACTTTTCCTTGCCCCAGGATGTATCTGAGCTCTCATAGCCCCACTTTGGGCAGTTAGCCAGGGCTCATCCTGGTGAAGGTGTTAACCAGTCACTTAAGTGTTGCCCACGTGAAAGAGTCAAGTGTCGGTTCTTGTAGGAATGCCGGCATTGTAATAGGATTCTCTCCAAGAGAAAAGGCATATTCCTTTCACACGACCCTGAGGTCTAGCTCCCTTGATTGTTTCAGCAAATGATATCTAGCCTAAGAAAACCAATAGTGTCTGACTGCTTGCTAAGGAGAAATTGAAGGTGTTTCATGTAAACACGTGTAGTCACATATATAGCCACAGTACAATTATCAAAATTAGGAGCTATAACACAAATACAATATTATTGTCTAATCTACAGTTCATAGTCGGAGTTTACCGACTATCTTAATAATGCCCTTTTTGTGATTTTTTGTGGTTGTTGTTGTTTTCGTGCTCTAGAATCCAGTCTAAGATCATGCATGGAATCCAGTTCTCGTGTATCTCTGGTCTCCTTTAATCTGGACCAGTTCCTCAGCCCTTATCTTTTTTTCTTTTTCCTGATTGTGGCATGCTTGAAGAATATAGACTGGTCATTTTATAGAATGTCCCTCATTTGAGGTGTGTATTGTATTCATGACTAGACTCGGTTATGCCTTTTGGACAGGAATATGCTAGAAGTGGTGTGTGTCCTTCTCAGGGCATCACATCAGGAGGTACATGATGTCAGTTTGTCACATTGCTGGTGATGACCTTGCTCTTAGGAAATACACACAGAAATATTTAAGAGTAAGCGTAGGCAATTTATTTTCAAATGGTTCAAAAAAATAATATGGAGGGAGAATGATCATGGAAATCTGACAAATGGTAAGAGTTGATAAATCTGGGTCAGGAGCACACTGGATTTCTTCGTCCTCTCCTGATAACTCTTCTGCACGCTTGAAATTATTTTAAAATAAGGCAGTTAAAAAATCTGACATATTAGAAGCTGTCTTCAGTGTACAGATTGCCCTGGCAGCTGGGGAGCATTAGTTTTGGGGGGATACTGCTCTTTTGTTGGGGAAGGCACTTTGATGGGCTTTTTGGTGATTCAAAGGCACTGCCTGGTCTAGGGGTTAGAGGTGGAGTCAGAGAAAAGCTAAGCTACTCAGCACAATAAAACGAAAGGATGATGTCCTCGGGTGGAGAAACTTACAGTGTTACCTGATGTGAGGCTTGCACTGGAGACTGTGAAAGAGAGCGTCATGGAGGATAGATGTGGCCCCAGAATAGGACAGAATGTCTGGCCCAAGAGAGGACATGGACAATCAGGGACTTTCCTGTTTGTGGTGATGATCTGAGAGAACAGGGCCACACGCTAATGATTGTTGGTTTTCCCTTTCCTACATTGTAGTGCCTTTATGTTGTTTCTATGTCTTCACTAAAGCTAACTGACCAGCACAACACAGCATCAGCCTTGAATTAATGGTCATCTTGAGGGATAAGGCGGAAGCTGGCGGGAGGGTGAAATAGACTAGAAGGGCCTGAGGCAGCAAGGAGAGAAAAATGATGAGCTGATCAGAGGTGACCCAGAGGAACAGCAGGAGACATCAGGAGGATACCAACAGTCTGAGAATCCCTGGAAATATCTGGGAAGAGACATTGGACTTCTAGGTGTTCTCTGGTGTTTGAATTGTAGTGATTTGGATATTAAAGGGAAG